TATTTCCCTTTTTTTGAAATTTTGGTAATCTGAGGATTCACTCAAAACTTTTTTTAAATGACATTTCTGCACAAGCAAAATTTCGCGGTTTTTCCCTCTTCACGCGCGCGCAATTTTTCCCTCTTGGTTAAAAAAGGTTACTATCTCTTCCACCCTTTTTCTTATTTGTCTTTCTTTTACGAACTTATTCTTAACCCCAAGATAACAATGAAACTGACCTTTCATGAAAATAACATCCGATGACAGATTGTTTGAAGCGTGCAGGTAAATGTTCTTCTCGCGTGGAAGTTCGCTCCATATGAGTTTGAATGGGAAGTCTTCAAAATTTCAAACTTCTTCAATTGCGACCTTTCTAGTGTGCTAGCTACCACTCTCGCAGGCTTTCGAAGGCTTTAAAACTCGTGTGGAAACAGCATGAAGGAAATTGGCGTTATTCTAAAAAACACAGCTGATTTGTCCGAAGTACGCGCCCAAGTAACTCTATCATGATAGTCACGTGAGCTCTACGTCAATAATTAATTTATTAACTATTATTAGTTTTTTGATGTAATTAGTTCATTAAAAGACACAGATGCGAGTAAAAACCACAGACAGGCTTGTGTTAAATTTCTTTGGGTATCTTTGTTTGTTAATCTCATCAAAAATTGTGTTGAACATGGACTGGACAACGAACTAAAGACGCGATTAGAACGCGTGGAGAGCACGCGGCTTTTCTGCGTTTTCATGGCGATGGAAATGGTCCACTAAAATAGCAAAAACCAATCTTGAGGAAGCTACTCATGTTTTCGGCCCTTAATGTTGGTTATGTAAATTGATTTCCACTTCTCATGATATCCCTTTGTTCAGAATGACTCTTGAGAAAACGATAAACAGTTAATTCTAAAGGTCCATATCATTGTTACTCTCTCCTCTCAGGAAACTGATAATAAGTGAGGGGTTAACGTTGGTTTAAGGGAGGGGTAGGTGCATAGTTGCTCAGCTATTGGCATTGAGCTATTACTCTTGATTTCTCATCAGCATCCAAGTGAACAGAGCTACTTCATAAACTGGTAGAACAGGGCCAGGTAAGCTCACTTTCCACAACTCTCCAGCCCAGGGAAGGGTCATGGGCTCATTTTCTGGACATCCCAGGGAAAGTAGTTTCTTGTAATAGACTACTGGAGATGTGCCACTGGATTGGGTTGCATTTTCAGGACTGAATTGATGATTACAGGGTTGCCTTTTCCATAATTTCAAGAATAGGGTGTCACATTGTTGGGATTTTGGGGGTAAGAAAATTTTGGTAAGTAGGGATTTAAGAATTCTAAGGCTCGCAATTAAAACGTTTTAACCATATTACCAACAGTGACTAAGATGGGGTTTACAATAGCCCATTTTCGAATTACCCTTGGCCTCTCTTTNATTTACAGCCCAACCAAACTTAAAACTAGGTATTAATTTATTGCAATCCCTACATATTTAAATAGGTTTATGACAAAAATTGTTCATCTTGTAATGTCAGTTTTTGATTCTTAAAAGGACTTCTACAGGCAGAGATAAACCTTCACATATATAGACATGTTTTCTTCATAGGGATAACAGCATAAAGCCACAAATCAATTATAAAGATCAACAAAATTCAGAGCATGATAGGGAATTTGAAGCCACTCCAATAATACAACCAGGAAAGCCTGAAAGAAAAAAACATGAAAGTTTCACAAATATGATAAATATGGAATTGAACAGCAAATTTGTGAGGACACAATGCAGGTCTAATCCATTGGTAATAACAATAATAATGTTTTTTGGGCACATTTAGAAAACTCTATGTGCTCACATCACTATATAGAAAAATAGTAATAAATCAGTTGATACTGATAAAATGTTTCATAACAGTAAAATATAAAATAAATGAAATAATCAATTGAGAATTAGTTGATATGAAAGCTCATAAAATAAATCAAGAATAAAATTTCCAAAACAAGAATGTTTTGAGGGCAGATTTAAAAGTTGAAAGAGATGTTCTATTTTTAACAGGATGCAGTAGACTGTTCCATAATATAGGTGCAGAGAAAGAAAAGGCACGTTCACTACATGTCACAGAGTTCACAAACGTAGGAGTTGTAAAGGGCACCTGCTGCTTGGACAGTATGCAAGCTGGCACGTATAAGACTCACAAGTCTCAATAATGCAATTCTATAGGTTATATAACAAATATGTGACAAAACAGTCTACCAGAGCAGTGCATGTGACTCAAAATTCTCTGTAATGTTCAGAATTTCAGATGGCGAAGGTAAAGGGCACTTTGAAAAATCATGGGTCTTGCAAAGTTCTTATTTGACCTTAAAATACCCTCAATCCTTTAACATGTCTTAAAGTCTAGTTTATAGTGCAAACTGCTGCAATCATAAAGTTGTAGTTTGAGGTGTGGTTAAAGAGGGGTTCTGAGATATAGGTAACCCCCTCCCCCCTAAGTGAAGACTTAATGACTGTCATGTGAGATACAGGTAACCCCCTCCCCCCTCAGTGAAGACTTAATGACTGTCATGTGAGATACAGGTAACCCCCTCCCCCCTCAGTGAAGACTTAATGACTGTCATGTGAGATACAGGTAACCCCCTCCCCCCTCAGTGAAGACTTAATGACTGTCATGTGAGATACAGGTAACCCCCTCCCCCCTCAGTGAAGACTTAATGACTGTCATGTGAGATACAGGTAACCCCCTCCCCCCTCAGTGAAGACTTAATGACTGTCATGTGAGATACAGGTAACCCCCTCCCCCCTTCAGTGAAGACCAAATGACTGTCATGTGAGATACAGGTAACCCCCTCCCCCCTCAGTGAAGACTTAATGACTGTCATGTGAGATACAGGTAACCCCCTCCCCCCTCAGCGAAGACTTAATGACTGTCATGTGAGATACAGGTAACCCCCTCCCCCCTTCAGTGAAGACCAAATGACTGTCATTTTGTATAGTACTATTATCAGTATGCCTGTAAAATGCTGATGAGATGTTAGATATGTGTGAGACCCATTAAGGAAAGTCCTACTTACTCCCGTGGAGATACTAAAACAACCAAGCTGTAACACATTCCTCTTTCAGGGCTGATGAAATCACACAAGCATCCAAAACAAAACGTACAGGTGGTAATCATTTTGTTTTTTGATCAAATTAGTATTCATGCTAATAATTTATTTCACATTACAATTCTGTACCAGGGATTAAGTTGCTAAAAGTCACTTACCAAGCTTATTACATTATATTATTAGTTCTTTATCACCTCGATGTCCATCCTGTACGAATCTTTTCCAACTTCCAAAGGTATACGGTGGCTGGTGTCATTTAAGTAATCCCCTTTCCTTATCCACGAGTCCCCGTCGGGTTTCCAGCCTACATTTAAAACGGCAGAAACACTGTAATCCGATTGTAAGGGAGACGGTACCGGGCACTTAATGATGTACATAAGTGGTTCTCCTTTCTTGTAGATGTTGGTGACATCGACAACTGATTCGCCGATCTTGACTGAGGGGGCATCCATACGACTCACGTCTTCGAACTTCACCGTTAAATACGAGGGAGCTGGAAGAACATCGGGCGCAGAGCCGCCTGTAAATATTATTTTTCCTGTAATTTCCATCATTTCTTTCGCCTGTGTTAGCTTGTGATGCCGAAACAGCCCTTTAGTAGTTTTCTTCTTGCCTAATATTCTATATAAGCTTAGCGTCGGTAGGCAATGTTTCAATAACTTAATATCACTGTTTTTCTCGGATCTGCACGCAAAGCCCACAAATTGTTCTCAAAGTTAAAAAACAAAAATCTAAGGAAATTTAGTGGACAAAAAACACAAAGATGCCAGATAAGAGTCCAATCTCTCCAGCTGTTATAACAAACTCATCTTCTCACGGAGAATGAAATCGAAATCCTCCTCCCTTTACAACTTTCCCGAGCTCACTCCTTCTCTTACGCGAGCGAGATGGGGAGGAGATTGGGGAGGAAGTGGTGGGGACACCTCTCTTAGGTACACCCATGCAGCCATCTTTACCCCATTCACTCCCAAGATTTAAAAACAATTTGTCTACACTGTCTGCGAAACGTTTCTTGCAGCTTTGGCTCTGTAAATTTGCTGTAAATCAAACATAGTCATTATCTAGAAAGTAAGATTTATAAAGGTCAATCCAAGGACTGAAAGAGTAGAGTGTTTCAAAACTAACGTGCAGTTTAGTCACAATAACCTTTCATGTAACAGGAGGGCTACAACTGTCGAGGTAAAATCAAAATAAAACAGTAACATGACTTCTTCCCAATCTCTAAACAGTGCAAAGACATTGTTCCTTTTGAGATCTTTTTTAAAAATGATTTCTGTCATCAGTCTGGACTGGTTGCACAAAATTATTCCTTTCTTCTAGCAGACCCTATCAAATCATACTAGTAAAGCTATTATTCCTCTTGTATTGTCATAGTTAAGCCAGTTAAACAGAAGCTGTCCTACAGCAAAGGGACAGTTAACAAACAATAACAGAATCTTGTCTTGATGGTGGGTATAGCTTGAATACAAATTTTTAGAAAGATTATCATCATAAACTGGGAGAAATGCTGGAATATTGTGGATCCTCTCTGGAGCTTGGAACTCACTGGTCTGAGGAGGGTGACAAATTTCAAGTTTTTTCCAACGTCAAAAGCCAAATAAAACAGAAATACACTTACAATTGTAGGCCAGAAAACACTTGAAAACTCTCACTGTGGGATTTGGTGGAAGTCATAAAAACAACCAAAAAAAACAACCACTTTTCCTTGCCTGGAAAAAAGCAACAAGCCCATTACAAAATCTGAGTGATACTTGGAAAAAACTAGGCTCTTGAACACCAAAGACAACAAGCTCATACGACATCCAGCTCATAAATTTGTCCATGCTCATCACTTCCATTTTCCCCATAATATTCTGTTATAACTTGAGAACAGAATTTACAAGTCTACAAGTACATAGGAAACAATGTATTTGCCTGAAGAAACCACAAATCAGATTCAAGGCAAAGTTGCATTTTTATTCCATAATGTCATTACAAATTATCAACCTTCTGCAGTAATAGCATTCAATATAATCTCAAGATGACAACACACCTTTTATTTATGTGAATAATGAATCCCCTATAACATATGCCCCATATTCTTGAACAATTAGATCATCTTGCTCAGATATTAACAACACCTGCCATACTTAAAAAGTTGCACAGGTTTCAAGTTTGTCAAAAGATCATCTCTTTCAAGCCTTTTTAACATGGTAAAACAATACATTTAACAAAAGACAACATCTTGTTAAAATTCAGTAAAGAATAAGGTCTCAAAGTACACATACACCTAACAACTTTAACTTTAAAACAGTATTTCCTTTGAGTACAAAGCATTTAATGATCCAGATGTCCTGGTAAAAAGGCATTCAAGATTAGATGAAAATTTTATTTTAAAATAAGTCCATGCATGCGTTCAAGCAAATGATGACAGTTTTAAAAGCTCTCACATAGAGGGACAACAAGCAAGCATTGGTTTTCATCCTGCAGAGAAGCCAACCTCTTGAAAACTGAAATTGTTCTTGCCTATTCCCCAACCTCTAATTCTTTTCACCAATCTGGACTGTCTCTTGCCAAAACATGTAACTCATCCAAGACCATGCAAATAACTCAAACTCTAAAGAAAAAAGTAATCCTGATGCAGCTGTACTTCCATAGAAAATCCAATTAGTAGCAATGTATAAACATGGATTAGTCGGGATGATTCCTCTCTTTATGAAAAAATACCAATATCTCATTTTATCTAATAGATAAACATAGTGAAGAAAAACCAGGAGAAACAAGATTGATAGGTTGTTAAATTATGCAAAAAAGACAGTAATTTATCTTGACATACAACCTCAACTTAACAGCAATTGGCCATAGAAAACACAAAATATACAAGTCTAATGTAAATTGCATTAAATAAAACATTTACCCCACCACCACACAAATAATATTACATTACAATTTAGGATATATTTACACTCTGCTTACTACCATCTAAGAGCAGTCTTGTCAGATTTTGCTGGTGCTTATTGCATTAAATAACAAATTAGTATAGGTAATTTATAAATAAAGTGCATCCTTCAGTTAATAGTTTCCGTGAGTGATATCTGTCCATAAGAAGAATAGGTGTACATCTGGCATCTGAAGGAAAGAATAATAAAAATATCAAGTTTTTATTCATTCCACATATGCCCTGACTCACTTCCCCCCTCACACACCCCATATACACATAGCCTTGCAAGAAAAAATTGTTTTTACCCACGGTGGTTAAACACCCATCAGCTGAAATTTTAATCCATTGAAATCGTAATTCTCAAGACGTTCTAGTTAACACCATAAATTTTACTGCCTCATTTGCAATGGCGAAAGAGTTCCAAATGAAGAAAAATCAGCAATAGAAAACTGAAAAACTAAATTTACACAGGGTTCAAGAAATCACTACTTTTTATTTTAATTGAGCTAACTTAGAATGTGACAAACATTACTTCAAGCAGCTTTTAACAAGAAAACAATTTCAAACCACGTTTGACAAAAAAGCTTCAAAACATGTGTTAGCTTGAGTGCAAATGTTCACCCAGGCGAGTCCCTTAAAATATGTTATAAGGCAGCTACTGAGAGTTGAAAAAATTGACATACAACCTTCCTTAAGAAAAATGATTACAATTGAGTGGAAATAAATTAACTTAATTTTCATTATACCATTGTATAGTCTGTGGTTATGGGAGAGCAGGAGAGCCTTCAAAGGATACCCCTTCCACAATAAACAAAGCTACACTGTCCACAGTAGCAAAACTTTTCATTGTACTTTGATTGCGAGGGGAATTATACACCCCTCTCCCCTGGACACCAAAAAATTAGGGTACAAAACAAGACAGAGTAGAATATTTGACCAACAGAAGATTGAACTTAAAATAGAGTTCTAATTTGAACTTAGATAACTATCAGTCAAGCTTTACCTACCACTTCACTCACTCTGAGTATTAGAGTCATCAATAGCACTAAGCTGATTATTTAGTATGGCGAAAGAGTGCTATCTACTTGGCTGGAATTTGATTTATCTATCTCACTGTAATCATCTCTTCGACTTTTGCTCTTAATTATGTTAGCCCCTACAGAATAAGACGTCAGGGAAAGCACTTACATACTTGAAGTTCACCTGAGCTTTGGGACAGGGCGTTTCCAATATCAAATTTTTTGAACATGAGTTGGCATTTCAAGCTTTCCTAAAGTTAGCTTACGTGTGCGAAAGATTTCATGAACCTTAGTAAAAAGGCAGAAATTTAGTGATCATTTGTAAAACGACATTATTATTTCCCTTACCTTAACTCTCGCTAATATTGAACCAAAGTAACATCTCTCCTGTACACTTGCTTCTTGTCTTCGATCTTTACATCATAGTGTGTGTCGGTCATGTAATCCCCTTGTTTTATCCAAGCATCTTTGTTCGCCTTCCAGCCCATCTTCAATGTCGCAGAAATACTGTAACTGCCACCAAGATCTGGCTTTTTGGACTTAATTTTGTACTTCAGGTTCTTCTCTTTATCATAGCTCGACAAGTCAACCATAGTTTTTCCGAGGAGTACCGAAGGAGCATCCATCATGCTAACGTCTTCAAATTTAACCAGTAAATGTGAATTAGGAGGAAGACTGTCTGGAGCGCCCCCTCCGAAGATCAGCTCTCCGTAGACACTTATTTCATCATCACCGAGGACATCTTCATTTCTAGGTATTTCGTCCGGCGGCGAGATGACTTTGTCGATCGGTTGTTCGCAGTCAAAGAACAAACAATGGTGTTTTGCACCAAGGGTCAACAAAATAAAGACTCCGATCAAAAGCAGTAAGATTGCTATTAGAAAAGGGATCGCCCAAAGCGGCCAGTGCTTCTTTCCACCCTTATAATCGACTTCCTTGTACTTTGTCATCGTTAACTTGGCTGATAGCTGGTGTCGACAACAAAATGGCGTTTATTTTGCGACCGTTCCTCAATGAATAGTGTTGGGGTTTGCGTCATAATTTATTCAGCACAACCACGTAGCCAATCACATAAA